AGCTCTTGCCTGTCTTGTTGTTGCTGTAGGAGAAGGACCGGCAGCTCTGGCTGTGAGTTGCTTGGAGTAGCCTTGCAAAGAAAAGGAAAATAATTAATAATACTAGAAAGAATTCTACAAGAAAGGAAACATTAGTATATTTCAAGGTGCAAAATTATTACCACATGTTTATTCTTCGTCAAAGCAAGCTCAGGCTTCAACTGTTTAAGACAGTTTGTGTACCTATGCCCTTGGAGACCACAATTGCCACATGTTATGGTCCCCATTCTTGATGTGTCTTTTGGCTTTGGTACTTCATATTTGCCCTTGATCCTCTTTTCTTTCTTTCTTCCTCTCTTGATTTTGAATGCAGGTTGTTCTATGTCTGGACCAGGGATCCTTGTCCAATCATGCTCACTAGGCACAGGAAATATCATTGGTTCTTAAGCTGCAACATAAAATCTTTCTTGAAGAATTTGCTAACATAATCCTCTGGTTTTCTTTTAGCCATGTTTATTGCAGAGATGACATGGTTGCATGGTATGCCACTAAGGTCCCACTTCCTGCATCCACAAGTCTCAAGTTCCAGGTTGACAGCATGTGTTTGCTGCCCACTTGTAACTTGTCATAAGTTCACCCCAGCTTGTATTGGCTTGCAGTATTTGGCCCACTCCTTCTCAACCTCTAGATTCTCACTTTAATGAGGTGTTATCTCCCATCTTGCTGCCTTTCCACTCTCTCTGTTCTTGTGCCACCTCACCATCTGCTTATCTTTTATCCCATCACACATTGTCCTTATAGGTTTTCTCCTAACATCTAGAATGTACTTGTTGAACACCTCAGACAAGTTGTTCACTACCAAGTCAGTCTTGCAGTTTGTGTCAAATGCATGCCTTGCCCATGTTTTTTTGTGTATTGCAGTAAGCCACTCCCAAGCTTCCTCACTTTCAGCTCTAAGATCATTCATTGTAATATTAAATTTGTGTTCATTGTAGGCATAGCTAGCATAATCCATGCACTTTTTAAGATCTTCACCCCTAAACCCAGCATTTTGGAAATTTGCATATAAATGTCTAAGGGAGAATCTTTGGTTGCAATTTGGAAACACATCATTCACTGCATTCAGTAACCCCTGATACACACAATTTAACAAGTCTAAGCTACAAGCTAAAGGAATTTGCACCAATGAAACTCTAAGCTAATGTAAACACTTGTGAAAACATAATGAAATATGCAAACACATACCTTTTGTCTATCTGACATTATAGTATAAGGTCCAAACTGGCCCACTCCCCCCCCCCAGGCAAATTTTGAGTTGGTGTAGAAACCAACACCAACTAGGTGTGTCCTCTTGTCCAACTATGCCAAATGTCAATGGATCTATGTTGTTGTTTTCATCTCTACCAGTGCCAGCAAGGAGTTGAACACCTGTAGTGAGCTTAATGAAGCATCCATCAACACCTGCATAATCAACATTTTCCAACATTAAATAGATTTAAGTGAGATACAATATGGAGTACTCTACAATATGTAAGTGGTGCACAAGGTTCAGAAACTAACCAATGAATGGCATGCACCCCTTGAGAAACCCCTCCCTTGCTCCATTCATGCAAAAGAACATGGCATGAAATCTTAGGCCTTGGTGGGGTATTTTTGCAGTTGGTACTTGAGTAACAGTAGTGACTATTACTCTACTCCCTGGGTTTGTGTCCATGACAGTCTGAGCATAGTCTTTAAGCCTAGGATATTGCTTCTTGTGATCTCTTAACACAACTTCAATAGCAATGTTCTTTTCCCTATATGCCATGCACTTGGGCACATCTACACCATATTTTTTTCATGCATGAATCAATTATAGTCTGGATACCAGTAGTGATATCAGATCTAAAGAGATGCTCATATTTTTGTGCTAGAAACTTAGCACTAACCCTGGTGGTCTCAGTAGTACTAGGGCAAGTGTGCTCTAGTCTCATCTTCTTAATTACAAAGGTTTTCTCCCCTTTTATAACTGCTGCCACCATAAAGAACTGGCATTGTTTATCTATACACTCAACAGTTATCCTCTGATCTGAATTCCTGTGATACTTGAAATTCCTGGCCTGAGTGATGTGCAAATTCAACAAAGCATCTCTGAATTGCTGTTGATCCCTAAAACACAACTTTAGACACAGTTGTTCATGTGGTTGCTCCATTTTCTCATTGTACCACTTCCTAGCAGGCCTTTTCTTTGCCCCACTCTTCCTTTTCTTTGGTAGAACAAATGAGAGTGGCTCAAAACCATCATCATCACTCTCCCTCAACAATCCCTTCTCTTCTTCATCTAATGATGGTCTGAAATCAGGTTCAACCTCTGGTAGCTTACTAGAATGTGACATAGTTGTTTGTCCTCTTCTAAGTGGCAGCTTCTACTTCTTCTTTACAGGTTCAACTATAGTTTGTTCTTCTTCTTCAAAAGTTCTATCTTCCTCTACCTCAAATGGGTCCTCGACTTCAGTGTCACCCTCATAATGCAGCATTTCTTCCTCCTCTGATTGCTCATCATCTGATTCTTCCTCTTGTACTTCTAGCTCTCTCTGTCTCTTTCCCTCTTCCACCTCTACATCTTGATCATCACCCATATAATAAGGGTGTCACTTCCAATTTGACCATCCTCATCAGAGGCATTAGCATCACTGTCCTCATATACCTCAAATCCTTGATATCCCTCTTCTTCTTCTTCCAAAACAGCTTTCAACTTGGCATTTGCATTCTTGCTTTCTTGTGTGCAAACACCAGGAGGATGATGTGTGCTAGAGCTGCTACATTGACAATCAAAAACAACTCCTTGCTGATCAACAGCTAAGACAGGAGGCTCACTCAGATAAAAAACAATAGGCTCTTGGTACACAACAGTGGACAACTCTGGCCTTTCACAATGTTGCCTCTCAAAATCAGTATCAGGGGGTGGGCAAGCCCTAACTAGCAAATTAAGCACCAATTTGTCCTGGATCTTCCTCTTTATCATCTGTAATTCTGCATGACTTCTACCAAATCCAGCCCTTTCTCTATTAAAGATGGTTTTTCAATGTGATACAAACAATCATATGCATTAAATCCTTGGGTTTCCATCACTGCAACCAAATTCAGATAAGTAATGTCTGAACTACACAGCTTCATCTCCAATGGTTCTCTTGCATCAAAATGGATCCTTACTTGCCAAATATCTTCATCCAAACTACAGAACAAATTAAATTTCATGTATTCATTAGCATAACTCTAAATTTGGAGAGCAATAGTACAGTAAAGGAAAATTTCAAGTAACCTGTAAGTCTAAAATTTACTATTACTATTACAAATGACAGAACATGAATCAATGTACTTTACTATTTCAGCACAATAGCTAAATCAAGGAAAAAGACAAGGCCACAATACTTCACTTAGTCAAACCCTAATCCCTAATTGTTACCGTAATTGAACTAATTTGAGAGTGCACTACACTACGTTACTAGGTTATTGTAATTTTCCTATACTACTCACTTTAATTGGACAAACCCTAATCCCCAACTGGATAAAGCAGAAGATGAACAAACCCTAAAAATCCCCAATTGGATAAATAATCAGAGGAGGAGGAGGAGAAGGGTACTTACAGCACGCCGCCAAGTCCATGCGTCAACTCATGGCTGCTGCTAGGGTTCACCACCCACAGTTGCGCCAACCGCAACCGCTGCTCCATGGTGAGTAACATCGACTCCTCCTCGTCTTCGGTCGAGTACGCGGAGCTGGAGTCGTCGCGCCATCGCCGTCGACGCCAGCCGGGCCGCTAGGAGGCCAGAACGGAATGTCACCATCGCCGTCGACACCCTCGCCACCGCCTGCCGGAGTAGGGTTCGAGTCGAGTCGAGGGGAGGGGAGGGGAATGGTGCGGTGGGGGACGAACTGGTGCGACCGGGTCAGGTTTGGAGAGCGGGTCGTCCTAGTCAGCGCGCGGGCACGCGCGATTGGCCAGTGTGCCACCTGACGGGTGGGCCTGAGCTGTTGGATCTAGCGTCAATACGTATAAAATAGAGTTTTAGCCTTATTTGCAACAGCCTGGAGCAATGTTGGTACTAACACGCAAAAAATAGCAATCGTGGTATCAATCTGCATGTGATGCCCCAGTTGTGGTTCTTCTGTGCAATTAACTCAGGGGATGGGGGTGCATCTCTGTGCAACTCCGGTGCATCTCTGTGATACTTTAGTGTGCCGCACTGAAGAGGCGGCCGCCGAGAAGTCGCGTCGATTAGTGCCGCCCTCCCTCCCTCCCTTCGGTCACATTGCGACATCAATGTCGGCCTCCGGCATGAATGCGGCGTGGTAAGCGGCGCGTGCATCGGAAGAAAAGCGCAGGAGGGGCGGTTGACGGGTTTTTGGTGGGTCAAGGCGATCAGAAGCAGGCTTGGGAGCGGTCCGGACTCCCGCAAACCTCCCCTATTTTTGTCTCAGGTTTGCGGGGGAAATCGCGTCCGGACCGATCCGCGGACTGATACATGCCGGCGTTAGATGACTTCCACGATCCGGACAGCCCAGTCCAAACGGCTGCGGGAGGTTTACGGGTCCGCCTTGAAGATTCCCTAACTAGTGCATTATTTTTGAAGTGTCAACAATCATCATCAAATAAACTGAAATCTACTATATCTAAATAGCTAACCCCCACTACAAGGAATTCTGTAGCTGCTTCTTGTGTCACATCACCCAAATTAATGTAGCCTTTGGATATACTAGATCACTCAACAATATCCATCCGATCTACACATTCTGGGCTGCTGTACCCATCATATGTAGTAACTGTTGGCGCCGCCGCTCCTCGGAACGCCGCTTCTTCTTCCTCACACAACTCTCTCTTCCTCTTGATTCTCTCAAGAACACACACCATGGAAGAAACTGAGAAAAACGCACGCACACCACTAGCATCGACCCACTAACCAACTAGACGCTAACTACATGCAACTAATTCCTACATGCACGTCCAGCCCTTATCCACTCAACGGATCACAACTAACTAGATGCCCCACGTCCGCCGGTCGTGTGGTTCTCCACAACAGCACAGCCACACGTTTGCTAACGCACGTGCTAAGTCAAGATTATGGCTAACAATTCTCCCCTTAATCTTGACACGCCTTGTCGACGACCGTCATCTTGAACCCCTTCGCTCGACGTCATCACGCGCCTCCGCGCCCGTTGCCACGTGCCATGTGCCCGCTGTCGCCGGAGTTGATGCAGCTCACGTCGTTGTCGTCGTCACGGTCGTGACCAAGCATGCGGACCCGGCCTAGCGCACCGACGCCGGTCACACCGTGCTCCGTCACGATTCCGGCGACATACGCCGAACTCCATCTCCGCCGGTGACACACGTCTGGCGTTCCTCTGCGTCCCGCACGTCCCGCACGCATCCGACGTGCCCGACGAGCCCGACCGCACCAGTGCGTCCCGCACGTCCCGCGCGCATCCGACGCGCCCGACGACCCCGACAGCACAAGACGCTCACCGCGTGCCGCCTCCGCGTCCGCCATGGCAGCCGCTAGCGACAAACGCCGGAAGGATGTGGCCGAACTCGAGCACGGACTCGAGCACCACGGCGACATACGCCTCCTCCCAACGTCAACCACATGCTCGTACGCGTGCCCGCGGTTCCGACGCGTCCAGTGCGCACCCATAACACGCACCGGTCGCGCCCGGCTCGCCGCCGCGTCTTATTGCCCTGCACCGCCGCGGCCTCCATGCCGCCACGCCGCGCCACCGCAGCCTCTGCACCACCATGTAGGTCCGCCGCGGCCGCCGCGGCTTCGTGCCACGCGCCTCCACGGTTGTCGCGCCGAGCCGCCGCGACCTCTGTGCCACCACGCAGGTCCTCCGCGACCTCCTCGTCTCCGCGACCACCGAGCTCTTCGCGTGCACGACATCACACCGCACATCCGCGGACTCGCCGCGCGTCACCGTCGCCACGCGCTCGCCGCACGCCGCAGCCGATGCCTCCATGTTGGCTGCGCATACCCCGTCCGCCGCGAACGCCACCGCGCGCCACGGCCGCCCCTCGAACCTTGTGGCTCTGAATACCAATTGTTGGCGCCGCCGCTCCTCGAAACGCCGCTTCTTCTTCCTCACACAACTCTCTCTTCCTCTTGATTCTCTCAAGAACACACACCATGGAAGAAACTGAGAAAAACACACGCACACACACACACCAGGGAAGGAAGCCAACTAGCTTTGCCAAGAGGCTCTCCTCCTGGGTCACACAAGTGCTACATCTTTTCTGCCAGCCCTCACGGCTCAACTCCGTCGATTAGTACAAGGAGTTTTATACCCATTATAGCACAGGCGCACGCACACCACTAGCATCGACCCACTAACCAACTAGACGCTAACTACATGCAACTAATTCCTACATGCACGTCCAGCCCTTATCCACTCAACGGATCACAACTAACTAGATGCCCCACGTCCGCCGGTCGTGTGGTTCTCCACAACAGCACAGCCACACGTTTGCTAACGCATGCGCTAAGTCAAGATTATGGCTAACAGTAACTGATGCATGCATGCAGTAATTGCTGCTTTATGAGAGTTTTAATCAAGAACAAAAATTGACGCATCCATGCAGTTCATAGCTTCATCCTCCAGTGCTCTATATGTTCGAAAAGTGAGTTGTGCATGCGTATTTCTTTTGTTTTCGTCCAACTTTGAACTTATAGATTGACATATGTACTCCCTCTATACTGGAATATTTGTCGCTGGGCAAACCCAGTTCAATATCTCCCAGCAATGTCTCTAGACAAATGTAAGACAATAATTTTAGGACGGAGGGAGTATTTAGGAACAGGGGAAGTATTTATTTGTAAAATACTGATGGCTAGTGTATTTAGTGAGAGCACTCCAAAAAGTAAGAAAAAGAACACTAACAAAGAGTGGTGTGAGGAGCATCGTATCATACTCGTTAGGTGTGAGTGGATGATACAATAATGGCAAGTGTTGGGTGTGAGTGGCCGTGCATGCCTGTATATCGCACTCACACCTAGAGATAGTCACCCAGCATATGACCATTCATGATTCATGGTTGGAACGATCAAAAGTCAATCACGCGGCGAGGCCCCTCTCTGCTCACTCCTATAAGTATCGAAACACGCAATCATTTGCAGGCATGCAGCAGCTAGCTCCAGCAGATCAATGGATCAGCTCCTCCTGCTTCTCGCGCTTCTCTTGTGCGGCCTCCTCGCCGTCCTCCGGCGCGGCCGTGCTCCTCCCCCTCCACCCTCACTCGTCATGCACAAGATCAGCGACCCAGCTGTCGCCCACCGCGCGCTCGTCGAGAACGCAGACGCCTTCTCGAATCGCCCGCCCGCACGCCTGCACGTGGCCCTGGCCGCCCGGCGACGCGGCCAGCGGAATGAGAACCTCAACACCTTGGCACACGGACCGCACTGGCGCGCCCTTCGGTGCAACCTCACCGCCGAGACCCTCCACCCGTCACGCCTGGCCTGCCTCGCGCCACTGCAGCGGGAGGCCGTCCAGGGCCTCATCGCCGCGCTGTCGTCCGCCCCCCGGGGAAGCCAGGAGGAGGTGACGGAGCTGCACCAGCACCTCTATGGCGCCATGTTCTCGGTCGTCGCGCGCCTGTGCTTCGGTGACGTTGTCGACGAGGACCACGTGCGCGCTATGCGCCAAGTCATACAACGCTTCCAGCTCGCCATTGGGCTGGTCAAGCCCTTCTCGGCCACGGGCTCCGTGATGGAGAAGCTCGTGGAGTGGAGGTGGCTGCGCAGGCTCTTCGCCATCGACGTCCGGCTCAAGGAGCTATTCCTCCCTCCCATCGAGGCATGGAGGCGGGCGGTCCGGTCTCCTCGACCACGTGACGACAACGGCCGTCGTCCGTACGTCGAGTCACTCATCGATCTCCGCGTCCCCAACGAGGACGGGGGCCGGCGCGCTCTTAGGGACGAGGAGATGGTGCGGCTGATCTCGGAGTTCCTTGGCGCCGGCACGGGGACGGTGGTGGCAAGCCTTGAATGGGCCCTCGCCCACCTTGTCGACAAGCCGGAGGTGCAGGAGAAACTACACGTCGAGGTCGACGACGGCGAGGTCTCCCGTGCAGGTGCAGGCATGCCTTACCTGCATGCCGTCGTGCTGGAGACCCTCCGCTTGCACCCGCCGCTGCCGGTCATCCCGCGCCATGTCCATACCGATGCCGTCGGGGTGTTGGCCGGAGGAATGGCCGTGCCGCCGCCGGTCGGCGACTTTTATGTCAATTTCTCTGCGGGGGACATTGGCAGGGATAGCAAGATATGGTCGGAGCCCAACGAGTTCCGACCGGAGCGGTTCCTGACTGGCGGAGAGGGGGAGGGCGTGGGCCCTTTGCCGGGACCCAAGCAGATCAGGATGATGCCATTTGGCGCGGGGCATAGGTTCTGCCCGGGCGTGGGCATGGCGATGGTGAACATGAAGTGCTTCTTGGCCGCACTCGTGCGCGAGTTCGAGTGGGCGCCGCCGACTGGCACCGACACCGTTGACCTCACGGAGCTAGATTCCTTCTTCAAGGTGATGAAGAAGCCGCTTTCCGCGCGTGTCACACAACGCACCAAATCCATCTAAAGATCTTAAGATCACGCGAATCTGCACGATTGTGCATAATAAAAAAGTTGTGTTTCTAACGTTGTTGCAGCCGAGCCTAGAGCCGCGGAAAGCTTCTCCTTCCACCGTTTTCTGTCGGTTTTAGCCGTCTCCGGCAAGGGAACCCCGGATTTATACACAATGCTATCTAGTTTGGGTGCGGCTAGGTCTCAGTTGACTAGGACTTAACCAAGTCTAAGTCCAATGATATATAACATGTAAGAAAGAAAAAAAAAAGAAAAAACCAAATTCTTTTGCACGGATCTCCGTGTAAGATACCACGAATATAGCATGACTCTCAGTCGACTGAGATTTAGCAATCCCAACCTAGTTTCCGTAGCCTCTACCCCCGTCTTGCTGAGAACGTTCATGGTGTGACGCGACATGGTTGAGATCTGGGGTTTTGGTCCCACAAATTGTTGGTTCACCCGTGCAAACCTACGGAGAATGCTACACTTAAGGGTTGTTTGCGCACGGAAGTAGTTATGGGCTGAATTGTAAACCTACGGTTGGTTAATGCTGGTGTAGTTCATTTTCTGCTAATTGTGAACCTACGGTTGGTTAATGCTACACATACAAAAGGATACATGCTTTTACATAAAGGTGGGTTTTGATTGGAGATTAAGGGGGAGATGGGGCCCACCCCCATGAAAATCAGGGGGGGGGGAGAGGTTAGTTAGTTTAAAAAGATCCTAGTCAGTGTGTAAAAGCATGTAAACCTTTGTATGTTTAGCATTATTGTTTTTTAGTGAACATCCAACTGCGTTGTAAACCTATAAGAGTACATCAGGTCAAAAAAAAAAACAAGAACAGATGACAAAGCGAGCAACAACGCCCGTTCACTCCTTCCCTCACCTTGCCATGTCTGTCCGCGCACATGTGTTTTGTGACCATGACGAGCCGACCTATGCCAAGTATTGGTTCGTTGAGAATTGGACTCTTTGCCATTTAGGATCATGAAAATTAAATAAGTAACCATCAACTACTACTTCATTTTGTTGATCTGTAGTTAAAGAAGCATTCATGCAGAGAAGGCCAATCAGTTCATCTCCAGATGCCAGGTTTGATCTCCCGGTCTCTCACACATTGCCAAAATCACTTTGCTGTGTTATTTAGCCGGTACATTTTGTTACGTTGTTAGAAGGCTATCTCATCCCGACGGTTGTGTGCACAACCATCTAGAAGAGTGTGTATCAGAAACCATGTCCCATGAAGACATGCAACTTGTGAGCAGTGCTAAGCTGTTTTGGAAGCATCTTGGTGTGATTGCTCATTTCATAGTTTGCTTTGCCATCTACCATTTTGTGAATCAACTTATACGGTTGCAATCTATTCATGGATCGGCTAGTTCTGCTACGATGACTTATTTGGTCGGGCTACTTTGTCTACGATCACTGTTGTGAGAACTATGTCACAACATTAGCCTAAGTGACCAAGACTGCTTCTACTACCTTGATACGTCTTCAACGTATCTATAATTTATGAATCATTCATACTATTTTATTATCTGTTTTGAATGATTATGAGCTTTATTATACTCTTTTATATTACTTTTGGGACTAACCTATTAACCGGAGACCCAGCCCATATTTGTTGTTTTATTGCCTGTTTCAGTATTTCAAGAAAAGGAATATTAAACGGAGTCCAAACGGAATGAAACCTTCGGCAGCGTGATTTTTTGGAAGAATATGATCCTGGAGACTTGGAGTTCACGTCAGAAGTTCCTCGAGGAGGCCAGGAGATAGGGACCCCCCATACTGGGCGCGCCCCCTGTCTCGTGGGCCCCTCGAGTACCCCCCCGACCGACTTCTTTAGCCTACATAAGCCTACGTACCCTAAAAACATCGAATATCAAGATAGATCGGGAGTTCCGCCGCCACAAGCCTCTGTAGCCACCAAAAACCTCTCGAGAGCCCGTTCCGGCACCCTGCCGGAGGGGGAACCCATCACCGGTGGCCATCTTCATCATCCCGGCGCTCTCCATGACAAGGAGGGAGTAGTTCACCCTCGGGGCTGAGGGTATGTACCAGTAGCTATGTGTTTGATCTCTCTCTCTCTCATGTTCTCGACTTCACACGATCTTGATGTATCGCGAGCTTTGCTATTATAGTTGGATCTTATGATGTTTCTCCCCCTCTACTCTCTTGTGATGAATTCAGTTTCCCTCTTGAAGTTATCTTATTGGATTGAGTCTTTATGATGAGAACACTTGATGTATGTCTTGCCGTGTTTATCTGTGGTGACTATGGGATATCACGTGCCACTTGATGTATGTTTTGGTGACCAACTTGCAGGTTCCGCCCATGAACCTATGCATAGGGGTTGGCACACGTTTTCTTGACTCTCCGGTAGAAACTTTGGGGCACTCTTTGAAGTACTTTGTGTTGGTTGGATGAATCTGAGATTGTGTGATGCATATCGTATAATCATGCCCACGGATACTTGAGGTGACAATGGAGTATCTAGGTGACATTAGGGTTTTGGTTGATTTGTGTCTTAAGGTGTTATTCTAGTACGCACTCTTTAATAGATCGATCCGAAAGAATAACTTTGAGGTGATTTCGTACCCTACCATAATCTCTACGTTTGTTCTCCGCTATTAGTGGCTTTGGAGTGACTCTTTGTTGCATGTTGAGGGCTCGTTATATGATCTATCTATGTTATTATTGTTCAGAGAACTTGCACTAGTGAAAGTATGAACCCTAGGCCTTGTTTTCTATCATTGCAATATCGTTTACGCTCACTTTTATCATTAGTTACCTTGCTGTTTTTATTATTTCAGATTACAAAAACATATATCTACTATCTATATTGCACTTGTATCATCATCTCTTCGCCGAACTAGTGCACCTATACAATTTACCATTGTATTGGGTGTGTTGGGGACACAAGAGACTCTTTGTTATTTGGTTGCAGGGTTGTTTGAGAGAGAGCATCTTCATCCTACGCCTCTCACGGATTGATAAACCTTAGGTCATCCACTTGAGGGAAATTTGCTACTGTCCTACAAACCTGTGCACTTGCAGGCCCAACAACGTCTACAAGAAGAAGGTTGTGTAGTAGACATCATACCTACGCGTATAGACTCATCATCTTGCAAACGGTGGAGGAAAGTTTTAGATATGAGAATGATGATGAGGATATGCTGGTAACATTAAAGCTGCAACAAAAACATAACAATTCAAAGGAGAAATGAATGTCATCGGGGTTGTTGATGTAGACCTTCTGGCGAGCTCCATGTCAGCTCATGATGGGTTATGGTCTAGTGACTCCTACCTATATTGTTCCGTCCTCTCTCAAGGTCTTAAGTTGCATGTCCAGTGTCTCCTCATGGAGATGATGGCAGAGATAAATTTCATCTATATCGGGCAGGACGGTAGAGGGGAAGAGGAGGTGAGGTGTGTGTGGTGGTGGGAAGGTGCAAGCGAGGAATATAATAGATTTAGTTTGTTGTTGCTATGCAGATATGCAACTGCTGCTGCTGATTGTTGTCTTAGGAGAGGAATAAGACAGAGTAGTAGGGAGCAAGAGCGAGAAAGTGAGGTATATGGAGAGGATGTTGCTGCTATGTGTATATGATGTTTATTTGCTAACCATCTGCATATGATGTTATTGTTGAGTGTTGTCTCGGGGAAAACAATAAGAAAGAGCAATAGAGAGAACTTAAGAGAAATTGAGATATTTACTCACTATATGATTTCTAGATTTTGATTATCAACTATAGCCGCTAGTTGCTATCACTCTATAATCAGGATCTTTTGCCGTTAGCTTACAGAAAGCTGACGAAAAAGAACGAGCGGACGACAAAGATTGTGTTTGCCATCATCCTGCTCTTTGCCATCTGCTAACAGACGATAAATAAGTTTTGCCGTCTGCTAGCAGACGACAAAGAGGGAGGGTGGCCCACTAACGAGAACCACCTAACGGCCATTTTCTTTGCCGTCCGCTAGCAGACGGCAAAGCTTCTTTATCGTTTGCTAGCGGACGGCAAAGAGAATACCCAACCTAACGACTGTTTCCCCTTGGCCCTACCCCACTAGCTACACTCTTTGCCGTCTACTAGAAAACGACAAAGAAATTAAACCTAACCAAACAACGGCCGTTTCCCCGCGCCCACCCCTCTCTCTCCACTCTCTCTTTCTTTCTTCCTCACCTCACCCGCGCCACCCCCGTGCTCGTCGTCCCCGTGCCCACCGCCCCCGATGCCGACCCCCACCGCCCCCGACGCCCCCGATCCCCCCC